TGACCCCGTCAGCGAGGAAAGAACATCAGCCAATCAGAGAGGAGCTCTGGGCCAGAGGGGGCGTGGCCCAGATGCCAGACCAATGGAAGCGCGGATGGGAAAGAGCCGATTGGCGGTGGCAGAGGAGGGGCGGGGTCAAGCGGAGAGCCCATCCGGAAGGAAGATGGATTTGGACACCGGGAGGGAACCGGAGCGGAACTTGGCAGGAGCGCTTGGGTGAGAAACTGGCCGATGGGGCAAGACTTGGGGACGCGCCCCTTGGGGGGATACCCGGAAGCCGCTGGAGCAAGACAGAGGGGCCCGAACCTGAGCGAGCTTCATCATCATGTGGGCAAACACGTGCAGGAATCCCACCACGGCGTCCCAGAGGCGGCTGTGCGCCAGGCTCTGCTGGTTCCCGGTGCAGGGGCCCTGGCGGCGGAGGGCTGCGTGAGCGCCGGGCGGGGCGCGGATGCGGGGCCGCCCCGCCCACCCCGCGCCCGCGGGCGGGCCCTACCTGGATGTACTCGGTGAGGCTGTTGAACACCTGTTTCGCCACCGACATGGCCTTGGAAAAGTTCCTCTTGCCCTGCTCCTCGATGACATCCTTGCCGGAGTAGTACCAGTAGAAGTCGCTGATGGACTCCTGGGGGCCGACAGGGTGTGAGGGGGTGCCGGGGCCAACCGTGGCCCCACGGCCCCCGACCCAGGCCACTCCTGGACGGCCTCATATCCTGACCTGCAGCCGCAGGAGGTAGTCCACCGTGCAGATGATGATGTTAATAGTGGTCGTGTTGCCTGTCTGTGTCCGTAGGTAGTTCTGGAAATCTAGGGAGATAAAAAGTCATTCATTCGTCGAGAATCTACTATGTGCTAGGGGAGGGGGAGAGTGGGCCATTTATTCCTTTACGCTTATTGAGTGCCTGTTGTATGCCAGAAGGCATATAATCATTAATTTATGTAATAACTCTTTATTAAGTACCTACTGTGTGTCAGAGGAAGATGGAGAATCATTTATTTATTTATGTAATAAATACTTATGGAGGGCCTACCACATGCCAGCTGTGGTGAAGGGTCAATTATTTATTCACTCATTGTTTTCCAAGATATGTTTCTTTGACCTACAATGTAACAGAGGAAAGTGGAGATTCAGTCCTCCATTTGTTTCCAAACCTTTTTATCGAATGCCTACTATGTGCCGGGGGAGATGGAAGATTGGCTATTCATTTATCCAACAAATATTGATTGAGCATCTCCCAAAAGCAAGAGGTAAGCATCTGTCATTTATGTGTTCATTCATTCAATATATATTTATCAAGCATATACTATATGCTTTCGGGAGACGAAGACTGGCCATTTACTCTTTGGGACTGCAAATTTATTGAGCAGTTACTGTCTGCCAGGCACTGTTCCAGGCCCTGGGGATACAGCAGTCAAAGTGAACAAAGTCCCTGCCTTTGTGAAGTTTATGTTCTCGTGCCAACTTTTCAGCCTTTTCTAACTGCAACCTACAGTCGGAAATCCATTTTACATTGGGACCTGGTGCACACGTTTAATCAGGAATTACATCCACGGGTACCCAGAATGGAAGTGTCACGTGCCCTTACTATGTGCCGTGCATGCTGGTATTTTCCGCCCTGTACTACGTCTAGTGAGCTACAGAAGAATTCTGATCTCAACCCACTCAATTTGTAGCTGTCAACCTCGCTCTTGGCTGCACATTAGAATCCCCTGGAGACTTTCAAAAATCCCAGCGCTCAGGCCCCACCCGGACCAAATGCATTGAAAGCTGGGCTTCAGCATCTTTGAAAGCTCCCCAGGTGTCCAGCGTGCAGTCAGGGTGAGAACCTCTGCGATAAACTGAGTCGTGAGCCTCTGCCGAGTGGTTCCCACCAGGATGTGAAAAACATTGTTCTATGGCAGAAAGCTGGTCACTGTTAGGCCCAGCCATGGGGCCCTGGGGGGTTATTAGACCATTCTCTCTACTTGAGTGTGTGATTGAGACGTTCTAGAATAATAATAACAATACACACTTCATGGGTGGCAGGGGTGGTGCGGGTGGGCAGGAATGATCAGAGTTGTGATGGGGGAAGCCCCGGGGGCTGGAGGAGCCGAGGAGATGCCTGACCCAGTCTGGGTGGTCAGAGAAGTCTCCCTGGAGGAGACTTCTGAGCTGAGACCTGAAAGATAAGTAAGAGTTTGCTACAGGAATTCCCAGCTGTGTGGCCTCAGGCAAGTTATCGAACCTCTCTGTGTGACACAGACTGTGCCTCAGTTCCCCCAGATGTAGCATGGTAGTCAAAACAGACTCTACTTTCTGGAGCCGTTGTGAGGTGTTGATGCTTTAATATACATGAAGAATTTGGGACAGCACCTGGTACGTCAATAAACTGTGCTTAAAGGGCCTTAAAGAGAGTGCCGAGGTTAAAAGCTGCGCTTCGGAGCAGTGGTTCTCAAAGTGTGGCCTCAACACTCAGCAGCGGCATCTCCTGGGGACCTGTTAGAAATGCACATTCCTGGGCTCCAGCCCAGAACTATTAAACCAGAAATTCTGGGGTGGGGCCCAGAAGTCTGCATTTTAACAAGGCCTCCAGGTGATTCTTAGGTATGTTAAGTTTAAGAACCACCTCTGTAGACCCATTTGCCAAATGACCAACTCATCAAATTATCAAGGCAACAAAGACGGATTCAGTTAAGTCCTGTGAATGCTGACAGCAATGTCACGTTGTACAGGATGGCTTTTACAGCCCTTGAAAGTTTTTCCTTTTCCCTCCAAAGTTTTACTTTCCAGTGACATCCTAACAGCCACTTCACAATCACTGTATCGGGCTGAATGTCCATTTTGCCTGCTTTCACGTTAGAGACGAACGTATACTCACATATTCGAGATTCTATAAGCAAATGTCATCAATTCTGTTTTCTAACTCCTTTGCGTTAATTTAAATGGGACCATATGCCTAAATGGTTACATATACAGCTCTCCCGCCTGTAAAGGACTCTGTTAGCTGAAGACACTGTCATAGACATGCAAATAAACAAGGAACACCCTTTTCTCTGCTTTGAATGGCACTGAATACTCAAGATATGCCAGGCATCTGAGCTTAGAAAGATATTCCAAATATTTCTTTGATTCGGTTGGTTAATGAATCCATGAATTTAGGCAGAGGACTGGACTGCAAATTTGTTGGGACAGAGAAATCCTACCCACAAGAACATTCTCATTTCTAAAAAGTCATAGATCCAGAAAATAAAGTTCATCTTCAACCCCAAAGACTGACTCCACCTTAGTTAAAATTAAAGAGAGGAAACCATAGTCATGTGGCACGAAGATATTTAATAAACTTTGAAGAAGAACTAGTTATGGGCATAAGAGCTTTTGAGAATGCAAAGCAATGGATCATGCTTTGTCCTTTGTGGAAAAGAAAAGAGTGAAGGTTAAAGGTCTTTACTAATCAATTACCTTAAAGAACACTAGCCACGTGGGGTGCAGCTTCTATGGAAGTTACACGTATAACTACTCCCATTCTTGTCGTGCAGGTTGATTTCTGGGCAGTCTGTGGTTTCCTCATCACCTGCTAAGCGTCACAACCACAACCTCGACACTGTACGTGTTTGTTAGAGGAAATGGCGTTGGGGAGAATGTTCATTGTACAGAATTTTAGCTGCCCCTTTCACGTAAGCTACGTGTGCCACATGGGGTTATATTTTCTCACCACCGGATGTGTTTCATTAACTTGCATGTCATCCTGACCTGGTTCAATTGCCTGAACCAGAACAAAAGCTGTGAAAACTCTTGTTTAAGTCAGGAAAAAAATCTGTAGGCCTTCCTCCTGGCAAAGCATTTTATAAGCAAAATTAATGTGATTCGAATAGACTTATTTAAAAATGTCGTGTGATTTTTTTTTTTTCCCTATATGCACCCAAAGTATGGAAATCCACCACATTTACTGAACTTCTGCAGCCACTGCAAAATGCCAGTGGAAAAATGGCATAAGGGTAATTGCTCATTTGGGCAAATCGATTCTTGGCCAATTGGTTTTTGGCAGATTGCTTTTGGGGAACTGGACTGGTGAGAGAAGGTGAAAGAGAAACAAAGTGGCTAGATTCCAGAAATTCAAGAGACTTAGGAAGGGGAGTGGACAAGGCTTGATGGGGGCTGAAAGGAAAGGATGAAGGGCAATGGGGTCAAGGACAAGGTCAGGATGGGTGGTGAGGCATCACTGAAAATCAGAGGAGGGGACTATGGATTAAGTCAGGCAACCCTTGCAGACTGCCCCCAAACCTCGGCCTCCTGCCCACCCGCCCCTCCTCCTCACCATTATTGTGCCCCTCGCAGAGCAGTTGCAGGAATCGGAACAGGTCTTGGGTGAATTCATCATCTGCCATGACCTTTTCTCCTGGGGGAAAGAGGGGGCCAGGGCCCAGGAGGGGTCAGATGTGCCAGGACACAGCAGATGCATGCACACGGCCCATGCACACTGCACCCTCATGCACAAAGCACAGGGGCGCGGGGAGGAGCAGTCACCGCTTCAAAGGAACTGTGAGCGCCACGAGCGTCCATGACACGGGAGGGTCCCCACCTCAGAGTTCATGGAGACCTGAGGGGCCCCAAGTCATGAAGCTGGGGCCTCAAGGGTCTTTCTACAACATCAGTATCCCCGTGATGTCACCACTTATGTGACATCCGGGAATGTCTGCGGACCCAGCAGAGGTTCGGGGCGTGGAGGTTAATGGATTATGGGGGGTTGGGCTCACTTTCACGCAAAGGCTCTGAGCAGGAAGGGATTCGTCTGAGGATGGGACTGAAAGCCAGCCAAGTGGCTCAGATGCCTTGAAAGCAGCCAATCCAGGAGAAGCAGAGGGGAAGGCGTGTAAACCAATCAGAACGAGCATCTGAAAGAAGCCAATCACGGTGAGCTGTAGGGGAGGGAAGAGGTGAATGGGCCAATCAGAGCAGGCGCAGAGGGGTCATGCACACCAATCAGAGTGGAGCTGGGGCAACCAATCCGGTTGGTGATGGGAACCGCAGACCCGACCAGTCTGGGGTCGCGGCACAGAGAGCTGGGTAGGTGGGAGTGGGGATCACCCCACCTCGGGACTGCGAATCTGGGTCTGGAAGTGCGAGAACATCCAGCTGGAAAGGGATCTGTGCCATCTTCGCTAGCTTCTATTTTACACATGGGGAAACTGAGGCTTAGGGAAGGTAAGAGACTTATTCGTAGTCCCAGGTGATGTTGGTGGCTAATCTGGGGCCCGAATCCTGGTCTCTGGACCCCGGACCTCAGATTTTCCGCGGGCATGGTGCACCCACGGAAGGGTTCCTCCATCCCCGGATGTCCCAGATCCTCAGCCCCCAGGTGGAGGGGCGGTTGGGGGTTAGAAGGGAAGGGGTGGCAGTCGCACAGCAAGGGGTTACGGGCGGGGAATTACCGTTCTGGCGGTTGATGACTGGGGCAGCCACAGGATGGGAGGAGGAAGCAGGAGAAAAGAGGGAACGAGAGAGACCGAAGGAGACAGAGAGACAGACACAGAAAAACACACACGGTGAGACGGTCAGGGATGAAGACATAGACACAGAGAAACAACCCAGAGAGAGAAAGGGCGGTAAGGAGCAAGGAGGAGAGTGGGAAATGAGGGTAAAAGCCGAGAAAAGAAAGAAGAGGGAAGAGACAGAGAGAGATGGACAGGTAGAGGTGAGAGGCAGGAGGCGAGGATCAGGGCAGAAAGGTTAGATACGTCACAACACGGCAAAGAGGAGAGTCGATTAACCCGGATTAGGGACATTAATGAGAGAACACCAACCAGGATGGGAGGTTTGGGGCATGTTCCAGGCGGGCTTCACTTGCTGATGGACAAGAGAACCCAGACAGAAGGACACCCAGGGGTGGGGACCATGGTGGGGCAGCAAGGGCGACCACTGCGGGGGGTGGGGGGGCGGGGGTGATGGGGATCGGGGATGCTCTTGGGGAGGGGGGAGCCTTGGAGGAAGGAAGCTCTGGGCAGCGTTGGGGGTGGAGGCGGATCCCGAAGGAGGAGGATGTCCCGGGGAGAGGGACACCCAAGAGAGGGCCTCACCGGTTCCGTCCTCGTTCACCATGCCCAGCCCCTCTGCCTTGTTCTGTCTCTCAAAGGCATTGAGATCCAGGACGCTGAGGGAAAGACAGGAAAGCTTCAGGGGGTCGGGAAAGTCAGCCGCCAGCAAGAGGAGAATAAAGGCAGACAGGACTCGAGCCACATTACTGGGGGCCATCGGAGCCCCGATTCCCCGCTGCTGGCTGCCCCTTGGATCCTGAACAACCTTCTAGTCCAGCTGTCCAGATCATAACACAACTCATTCTTAAAGCCTGCGGCATTTTGCCTCCCTTATTGTTCCATGTGAATTCTTAGAGTAAACTCCCTGTTATTCGAGCTGCTCGGAGTGGGGGCTCTGTTCCTGGAACCGGAAGTGGTACCAGGAGTGGGGGCTCAGCCACACCAGACAGCTTAACTAAAAGGTGTAGCCAGAGCCTACCTGCATGTCTGCATCAGCGCCTGGATGCTCTGGAAGAAGCCGACTTCCTTCTTGTCCTTCAGATAATCCAGCATTTTCTGCAGAGGGGGCGGCAGAGGGGGGAGCTGGGAGTGACGCAGGAACGCCCCGCCCCTTAGCCGTCCTCCCAAATCCCTTCACCCGTTACCTGCTGCACATCTGCATTGCCTCCATTTAGGATGGAGATGCCCAGCTTGAGGGTGGAGGACACCATGGCGCCCGTCTCTCCTGGAGGGGGCAGCGAAAGATGGCCCGATCGGTTTCAGAGCAGCGTTCTCCACTCACAAGAAAACGGCCATCCCAGGGGATGCGAGGGAAGGGGGTGGAGGAGGGTGCAAGGGCGTGCATGCAGGGGTGATCGTGACTGGAAGAGGAGAGAGAAATTGCAAGGCAAGTGGAACAACTGCAAGGCAAGTGGGCTGGGGTGTGTGTGCAAACCACAGGCACGCAGGGGTGAGAGGGTGTGGCCACTGGGCACACGGGGAGTGGGTGGGCAGGGAGAGCGGGGACAGGAGGGCGTGCTCAGGAGGAGCGAGTGCACGGCGAGGGCACCTTTGCAGGCACTGATCATCTGAAGCACCATCTCCGCGGCGCCCCGGGTGTGCAGCCGCGCCTGCTGGTACAGCAGCCTCTGCTTCTCCATCTCTTTCTCCTGGGGCAGAGCCAGGCCCGCAGCGCCGAGTGAGTCCAGGCTCACCAGGCCAGCCTTTTCCCCTCACAGCCCAGTCCCTCACCCCTGCCCTCCCTGCTCCAGCCACAGCCACTGGCGCCTTCAACTGTCAGCTCCCTCTGTGCCCTGGGATTGAAGTCCCGGATTTGTTTCTTGCACCCAGCACAAGGCTGGGCATGGAGCCATCTTAACCTGGGCCCACGGACCTCCAAGGCGTCAGTGGATAGAACCCAGGAGGTCTGTGAACTTGGATGGGGAAAAAAAATTCAGATTTTTATGTTTACCACCCTCTAACTGAAATGTCACCTTTGCCCCCATTACGGGTGAGGCCATAAGTCATAGCAGTATTGGCAGAAGCTGCAGTCGTGTCACCAATAAGAATGACAGATGTCTCCATGTCACACTATTTTTGCAGACATCTCGAAATACCGCTGACGTTCATCACTACCCATCAATTACAGTAGCTACTGGACTCCCTGTTAGATCTTGTTATTTGAGAGATTAATAAAGAATGCAGATGGTAACTGTATCATTTCCTCTATTCTGAATGCATCCCATACATTTAAAAACAAACAAGATTCTGAGAAAGATTTCATCAGGTGCCAAAAGAGACCCTGGCAAAACGAAAGTTAAGAAACCCAGGGACGTGCTTGCTGACTGTCTTAATTTAATGATGGATGGATGGGCCCACTGTGTGTTTACTAGCTCTTTCTCACTGCCTGGCCTTTGTATGTCCTGTGTCCCCTACCTGGAACACCGTTCTCCTTTTCTTCAACTGGAACTTCACTCCTTTTATCTTTCTGCTCAAACATCGCCTCCTCTGAGAAGCCCTCCGATACCCTTCCCCCTAGGCTGGTCAGGCGCCTTACTGGACTCCCATAGCCCCCTGGACTTCCCCCAAGGCCCCCTGAGCTTCTCTGACTTCCCCAGCCCTGACGCCTCTGCCTGGGCCCTCCATCCATCCAGCCCCGACCCCTCTGCCTGGGCCCCCCATCCATCCAGCCCCGACCCCTCTGCCTGGGCCCCCAATCCCGGCCCCGACCCCTCTGCCTGGGCCCCCAATCCTGGCCCTGACCCCTCTGCCTGGCCCCCGATCCTACCTGGACCCCTCTGCCTGTGCCCCCCTATCCTGCCCGGACCCCTCTGCCCGAGCATCCCTCATCACCATGAATACTCCCGCTGTTACTGTCTGGCTTGTGTATCTGTCTCCCCAGTAGACTGACTTGGTCACTGCTGTGTCCCCAGCATCGCCCAGCACAGGGCCAGGCCAGAGCCTTGCTCTGCGAACACCTGCTGAATGGATGGGGATGACTGAAGTCAAGGTCCCCTGTCCCCTTCCTCCAAGACCCGATCCCACCTACCTCAAAGGAAACCTCAACCTCGTCTTCTTCAGCTTCGGTGTTCTCCCCTCCTTCCTCCAGGTGGCAGCTCTGGGGATGGGGCATCAGTTAGGGATGGCGAACAGAGGAGACAGCCCCGCCCACCCCCAGCCCTTTCAGGGGACGGGCCTCGCAGCGGAGGCTCCCTGCCCTGGACCGGGGCGGGGCCGCACCTTGGCCATGATATCGGCGTACGCCATATACAGGTAATCCTCTTCCAGTTTGCTGAGGAAGTAAGTGGGGAGAGAGTCAGGAACCCCATCTTCTAACAGCCACCCCTCCCCACGCTCAGGCCGAGGGGTTCAGGTCGGGTAGACTGCCCACTGCCGGCGCGGGCATGTGAGAAAGGCGGAGCTGATCTGCTTGGCCACACAGTAGGTCAGAGATGGTCACGTGATCCCGGCTGGTCCCACGCAATTCACACTGGGGGTCTTGCTGGGGCTATTGGTAGCAGTGTTCCCTTCCACTGGGGTCGCTAGAATGGTGCAATGGAAGCCTGGAGCTTCAGGGGCCACCTTGCCACCTGCTGCCTCACTTGACAACATGACCAACCTCCTTCTCCACGGGTCACCTCTATAATATTATTATTAATAATAATGATAATAGAAGTATGGCCAGCACCTACTGCGTGTTTACTCTGTTAGCCCCTGTTCTAAGTGCTTTGTATATATTAACAAATTACTCCCCACAGCGTTCCTGTGAGGTACATAGATTACTAGCCCCATTTTACAGATGAGACAACTGAGGCACAGAGATCCTTCTTGGCCAAGGCCACACAGCGTGTGCTGGGATTCAAACCTGGATAGCCCAACTCCACAGTCCCTGCCTCCCCAGAGGATGGAAAACAGGACCCTCAGCCTCCCAGCCTCCCTTGCAGCCGGTGGCGGCCCGAGGTCCGAGTTCTGGCCGATGAGATGGCGCACAAGCCCGCCAGGGAGGCCTCTCCTCTGAGGGGAAGATTTTGGTCTTGCTTAGAGGAAACGGTGGCCCCTTCTTCTGCCTGGCATGTGGGTATGTCTGGAAGGTCAGCATCCATCTTGTGACCGCAAGACAACAGCTCAGAGTGGCCAGGGTGGAAAGCCTGAAGAGCCTGGGTCCCTGTGAGTGTCATCGCGTCACTGCCCCGCCCTGGACTTCCTCCCTCCTGACTTGATTAAGTGAGAGAATATATATAGCAAGTACTGAGCATGGGGCTCACGCATAATAAGCCTTTGATAAATGTTGCCTGTTATTAGCATCAGAGACAGCAGCAGCATCCTTATGACTGTTATTTATTCCCAGACTGCCATTAGCCCGTACGAAGCCTTTGTGTGAATTACAAGAAGGCTCCCCTTCCTTACTTCTGCCTGTTGGAAATTTGTCACAATATACTGATTTCTCCCCTATAATATACTGATTTTGTTTGAGCAAGACACTGTCTTCTAGAAAAGCCTAAATTGCTATCAACTGTGATGTGAACCCTTGTGAAGTGCTCAGCCTGCACAACAGTACATGTGACCCTGCCTGTCCTAGTGAAATGACATTACAAGAGCAGCTGTGGGGCTCCCCCAGGACACAGAGGGTCTCTCTTGAGGAACAGGGAGGCTGCCGGGGTGGGGGTGGGGGGAGTGGGGTCCTTCCCCAGGACCCAGGAAGGGTCCTCACCTCTTTTCGGTCAGGGCAGTGCGGCTGAAGTGCAGGACCAGCTGGTGCAGGGGGTCTGGCTTCTTCTCCTCCACTTCTTCCTCTTCCTCCTCCTGCTCCCCAGCTTTCTGGAGGGAGGGGTGAGGCTTGGAGGAGGGGCTTCTAGAGCCCCCTCCTGTCTTCCCTGTAGCCCTGCTGGGCTGGACTTTTTTCTCTTCCCACACATCCTGCGCGGGCGCCCTCCCCCCGCCAATTCCGCCCAAGCCAGACGCTGCCGTTCCTGCCCCTCAACGCGAGGGGCGACCTCTGGAGGTGTGCAACGAACAGTCTGGCCCCAGCCCCATCCTCTTCTGCCCGCACACCCCCAGGCAGGCCCCAGCTCACTGAAAGGTCATCTATCATGCGGTCCTCAAAACTGTGGTCTTCAGTCAGGATCCATGCCGCCTTGTAGCTCTCCAAGAACATGTTACATGCCCGGTGCCTGCAAGGGAAGGTGTGGGATGACACTGGGACCTTCTCCCCTCCACGCCCCCTCTGACCTCCTAGCATCTGCCTCCCCCAACCATTCCTCGAGACCCCCTCGTGTTGGCACTCCGTCCTCCCGCCTCCTCAGCCACCCTTTCTCCACTGCCCCTCAAGCTCCCCTCCTCCCTGGGGGTCTTACGTGGGCAGGTTGTACAGGGGGGTCATGCGGAAACAGGCGACAACTGCCCTCCGGCGCTGCTTGGACAAGAGCTTGTGCCACACGGCCTTCTTGGACTTGTAAGGGTGCTCGATCTGGAGGGAGGACAATCTGTCATGTCCCCAAGACCCTGGCCCTCCCCGGGGAAAACTGCCCCTCTGTGCCTGGGTCCAAACTCAGGCCCGACTCACGGGGCCGAAGGAACACCTTGGCTCCACCAACAGTCAAGGTTCTGACCTGGGCTCTGCTTCCAGACCTGGCCCCGCTCGCAGACCCAGGAGCACTGCCCGCCCAAGGCCCTGCACACTGACTCAGGCGTCTTCCCCGGCCGCTCCCAGACCCAAAGTTCTGCCCCTGGCCCCGCCCCAGGCCCAAGATTAAGCACCAGGTCCTGCCCCCAAGGCCAAGTTTCCATTCTAAGCCTTGCTTTAAATTCAAGGCCCGCCCCTTGCCCCGCCCCGAGACCCAGGGTTCATAAACAGGGCCCGCCCACCGGGCCGAGGCTCGCCCCTTGCCCCGCCCAGAACCTGCAGTTCACCAACAGGCCACGCCCACATGGCCGAGGCTCGCCCCTTGCCCCGCCCAGAAGCCACAGTTCACCAACAGGCCACGCCCACAGGGCCGAGGCCCGCCCCTTGCCCCGCCCAGAGAGGCGAGCTCCAGGTCCCCTCGGGCCCGCGCACCTGCTCCAGGTGGTAGAGCACGGCAGACACTTCCTGGACTCTGCGCACGATCTTCTCGGGGTCGTCGGCGTCCTCCTCGCGGCCGGGGAGGCCCCGGTACAGGGCCATCTGCCAGCGCAGGGAAGGGGAGCCTTCGACCTGAGGAGGAAGGACGGCCGCCGGCGTGAGGGCCCCTCCCCTGCCCGCTGCCCCCTCGGCCGGGTGCTCCCAGGGCCCCTCCGCGCAGCGTGGCTTCCCCGGCCGCCCGGCCCCTCCCGTGCCGTGACGATGCAGCGGGTGAGCGGGTACCCGGAGGTCCTTCGCTGCCTGGTACACAGTAAGCGCTGGAACGTCGGCTATGATTGTTGCTATATCGTGACAGGCGCCCGGCGTCTCAGATTAAGGGGGCGTACCTTTCCCTGAAGGTGAAGGTTGTTCTGCAGAAATTCCCGGACCTCCTCATCCGTGTCTTTCTGGGGAGACATGGCCAGGCTGGGTCACTCCAGAGGGCTCCCAGCGTCCCCCTTGACCCCTTCTAGACCCGTCACCCCAGCAGCTGGTGAGAGGCTTCTGTGGGGAGGGTCTGAGAGCTACTGGGTCAAAGGTCAGGAGGATCAGAGCGGGGGTCCTAGAGGGCATCGGAGGCCACAGAGGCACCGCGAAGAGACAGTAAGCATTAGAGGGGCCTCGTGGTGGGGGGGAGGGCGTGAGAGGAGATAGGATAGTCTCAAAGGTCAAATAAGGCCAGAGGGATGATCGGAGTCCGGGGAGGGTCAGCGTGAGGCTAGGAGTGCATGGGAGAGGGGCAGGGAGTTTTCGAAGATCAGAGGGGGTGAGGGGGGTTATAAGGGAGACGCAAGGTCAACAGAGGTCATGGGGATCAGGCAGCTCAGCCATGTGACTGGTGGGGTCTACATGGAGGCCAAAGGGGGGGGGTCAGCAGGTGGAGGTTCCTTAGGCTCCCAGAAGAGGAGGGCCCTCAAGGAGAGGGGCACCAAACTGAAGGGTCAGAGGGGCCGTGGAGGGCTCTTTGGGGTCTTGGCAGGACTCAAGAGGTCCCAGGAAGAGCTTGAGGTCCAGAGGGAAGGAGCCATTAGGGTTCCAGGAGAGGGGGTGCTTGTGATCCCGGGGAGAAGCCTGTGGTCTCCAGGCCCCAGGGGGGCGAGTAGGTTGTGAGGGTGCT